CCGCCTCTAGGTACTGTGCCCCCTCAGGGGCCAGACCCGCAGTCGCCATATGGCGGGGCAAGGGTGAAGAACCCGGCCCTGCACCTGGGACAGCAGGTCTCTCCTCAGAGGGACCCGCCACAGCGGGCCGTCCAGGAGCGACATGATGTCCGAGAACCACACCCGGGTTGGCCAGAACGGGGCTACGAGCAGTAGGCCGAAATTGTCCTGGCGGACCCGCTCCAGAACCCCGGGAGCAGAGCGACTGGGGGAAAAGCGTACAGACGTAGCCTCGGCCACGAATGTATCATGGAGTCCAGACCCAACGGGGCTGGAGGAATGAGAGAAACCATAGCGGGCAGTGCGTAGTCTCTTGAGACGCAAACAGATCCACGTCTATGGGGCTGAACTCTTCGCACAAGAGCTCCACCACTTCGGGGTGAAGTCTCCATTCCCCGGGCCTCAGCCCCTGCCTCGACAGCAGGTCTGCTCCCTGATTCTGCGTCCCGGGGAGATACACCAACAAACTTGGTTTGTTATTTTCACAGCACCCTCGTCCACCCTCCTTTTGTTCTTTTTGTTACCTGTCTACATCTCATGTTACCAATAAACGTTACCTTGTTTAAGATCTACCAGTTGTGCCTATATGTTTATGGCCCCCACACCCCTAGACCAACAGGGGGGTCGTAACATATATGTGCAGCAGTCCAGATGGTATTACGCTGGACGCAGCCGCCAGGAGACCCAACACTCGTTGAAAGTGTTTCATAGTGATGGCGTGGCCTAACTTCACCCCTTTCACGGCAGCCAATATGGTGTCGACACGTGCCGGAGACAATTGTGCCCGCATCGTTGTCGAATCCCATACAACCCCTAGGAACGTAGTCCGTTGGGTGGGCGCCAGCACGCTCTTCTTTGCGTTGAGCCTCAGCCCTAAACGCCGCAGACGAGCCAGAACGACATCTCGATGCCGAACCGCCAACTCTCGAGACTGGGCTAGGATGAGCCAGTCGTCGATGAAGTTGAAATCCGGATGCCCCGGAGCCTCAGCGGGGCCAGTGCTGCATCCATACACTTGGTGAATGTGCGAGGGGAAAGTGCCAGGCCGAATGGAAGAACCCGATACTGGTAAGCCACACCCCCGAAGGCAAACCTCAGGAACTTCCTGTGAGAAGGACGGATGGAGACCTGGAAATAGGCGTCCTTTAGATCTATCGTGACGAACCAATCCTCAGATTGGATGTGCGTCACGATGGCGGGGATGATGAGCATCTTGAACCTGAATCTCCTCAGAGACCGGTTAGAACCCGCAGATCCAAAATAGGGCACGCAGCCCTCCGTCCTTCTTGGGGACTATGAAGTACCGGCTGTAGAACCGGCGTCTCTGTCTGGGGGGGAGACACGTTCCACGGCCCCTTTCCTCAGCAGAGTACGAATTTCCTGTCCCAACACCGGACCTTGCTCCGGGCGGACCACAGTCTAAACAACCCCCTCTCTTCTGTTGAATTTGGAGGGCGGGTTTTGAACTGTAGTCGATACCCATCTATGGCAGTGCGCAGGACCCACGGAGAAATGTTCGTCAGGCTCCGCCAAGCGTCTGCAAAGTCTGCCAACGGAACCAGCCCCTCGGGGCTGGTGGTCGGTGTCTCGTGTGATCTTCTGGTGGACCCCTGAAGCCCCAGAACGGCAGGGGAGAGCCGCCGAAGATCCACGGTGAGTGAGTCGGGATGCCGTCCGCCTGCAGACCCTCGGGGCAGGCAGTACGGTGCGGACTCGATGGTGGCAGGTGCGTCCTGAACGTGTAAACGGTGGGATAACATCACCTGTTGCCACGGCGGAGGGGACCTCGGTCGGCCTCCGGGGGGGGTGGGGGGGGGGGTGCGGGAGGGGAGAAAGACTCCCCTACCCCGGTCTTCCCTGAGCTCCGTCGGGACTGGATGACGGTCCTCAGATCGCGTCTCTCAGACGGCCGAGGGTGAGAGCGCCGTCTCGCTGCCCCAGCTCCTCGGGGGGGGGCCCCCGAGAAGCGACACTCTGCTTCCTCTCCTCTCCGTAGGAGCTTGTAGAGGGAAGGGACCTACGCCTGGCAGCCTCAGCTGCCTTGGGTCCAGACCGGCGAGGGAGGTACTGGCGGAACGCTTTGCACTGCGTCAAACGCTTCGTGGTTCTGCGAAGCTCCGCCAGATCTTCCTCAGAGGGACCCCCCTCTGAACCATCTCCTGTAGCAGGTTGGCTTGGTAGGCTTGAAGCACCGTGGTGTGCAAGCTCGCACCTGCCTGGCCCGCTGCCATGTACGCCTTCCCCACAAGCGTGGATGTGGTGCGACATGGTTTGGATGGTAACGCCGGCTTCTCCAGGGAGGACGCAAGTCGAGGGGAGAGATAGCTCGCAAGCTCATCCTCCACCCGAGGCATCCTCCCATAACCACGGTCCCTAACCCCCATCACATTACTGTAGTTCAGTGATCTGGGTGAGGAAAGCCGTGTAGAGAAGGGTCTGCCCCATGATTACTCAGTTCATCATGTAAATCAGGAAAGAATGGCAGAGACCGGCGTGGAGGTGGCGTGTGGTGCTTAAGAAACCTGTCATCAAGCTACCACTAGCCTGTGGTGTCTGCTCCTCCTGTGGCCAGTTGATGTTGAGCTTAGCCACGGCTCTAGTCACCACCTCCAGCAGCACGTCATAGTCGGGCGTCGCTAGATGACGCCACCCCGACACCCGGAAGTCATCGTCCACTGCGCTGAGCACGTCCGCCTCCTCGGAGTCGGATTGCTGCAGCGTCTCCGGATCCAAACCGCGAGCGGGAGAAGCCGAGAACGGGCTCCCGAACGAGGAAAGGAAGCGTCGGAGCCAGCGGATGAAGGTCGGAAAAAAGCCTCAGCCGTCCCAAAATCCTCCGACAGATCACGCTGTGAACCCCATGAGTGAAGCCGCCGGGCCGCCTCAGCGGCCGCAGGGCCCGCACCACGGGGAGAACACATCCGGCCACCCTCGGAAAAGAGAGCCATGCTGTACCTCAGTACCTGCACGGAAAAGGCTTCGCAACGGGCGCAGGCAGCCCCCTCGAGAGCTGACCGGGCGTGCTCCATCCCCAAACATGAGACACACATCTCATGAGAATCTCCATCCGTGATGTACCGAGGGCAAGAAAAAACACACCTTCTGTACATCTGGTTGCCGGACATGCTGGTAGACTTCTTCTTCAGGTAAGACACACTGCTTGTGGGACTGGAGCTTTCTTCAAACAACATACAGAGCGCCTGCTGAATAAAAAAAAGCTAATGATGAGTGTGTACAGGTGTGCTTTATACTCCTCCGGTTATTCCGTCACACCTTACCGTTCTAGCAACAAGCCAATAGGATTGGAGTGATTTCATTCACGTTCAGACCTGCTTCGCCTAGAGGCGTTCCCATAGTGTCGTAACCGACGCAGTTTGAGTTCCCTCGAAGGGGAACCACCTGAGCACCACCTGAGAACCACCTGAGCACCACCTGAGAACCACCTGAGCACACCTGAGCACCACCTGAGAACCACCTGAGCACCACCTGAGAACCACCTGAGAACCACCTGAGCACCACCTGAGAACCACCTGAGCACCACCTGAGCACCACCTGAGAACCACCTGAGAACCACCTGAGCACCACCTGAGAACCACCTGAGCATCACCTGAGCACCACCTGAGCCCTCCTGTGTCCGTCTGACTGCAGTGAATATAAAGAGCTCTGTGTTCTGTGGTTGAACTATGAATCCTTCCAGCTTTGTTTCCAAACGCAGAGGAGATGACTTTCAGAGACAGTTCACAAGTATTTCTACATCAATTTACACGCAGAACGAGTTTGATACCAGTAGTATTATGTTAATTAAATACACTGCCCAAAAAAATAAAGGGAACACTTAAACAACACAATGTAACTCCAAGTCAATCACACTCCTGTGACATCAAACTGTCCACTTAGGGAGCAACACTGACTCCAGTACATCAGGAGACGTGGAGGAGGCCGTAGGAGGCAACAACCCAGCAGCAGGACCGCTACCTCCGCCTCTGTGCAAGGAGGAGCAGGAGGAGCTCTGCCAGAGCCCTGCAAAATGACCTCCAGCATGTGTCTGCTCAAACGGTCAGAAACAGACTCCATGAGGGTGGTACGAGGGCCCGACGTCCACAGGTGGGGTGCTTACAGCCCAACACCGTGCAGGATGTTTGCCAGAGAACACCAAGATTGGCAAATTCGCCACTGGCGCCCTGTGCTCTTCACAGATGAAAGCAGGTTCACACTGAGCACATGTGACAGACATGACAGTCTGGAGACGCCGTGGAGAACGATCTGCTGCCTGCAACATCCTCCAGCGTGACCGGTTTGGCGGTGGGTCAGTAATGGTGTGGGGTGGCATTTCTTTGGGGGGCTGCACAGCCCTCCATGTGCTCGCCAGAGGTAGCCTGACTGCCATTAGGTACCGAGATGAGATCCTCAGACCCCTTGTGAGACCATATGCTGGTGCGGTTGGCCCTGGGTTCCTCCTAATGCAACACAATGCTAGACCTCATGTGGCTGGAGTGTGTCAGCAGTTCCTGCAAGAGGAAGGCATTGATGCTATGGACCGGCCCGCCCGTTCCCCAGACCTGAATCCAACTGAGCACATCTGGGACATCATGTCTCGCTCCATCCTCCAACGCCACGTTGCACCACAGACTGTCCGGGAGTTGGCGGATGCTTTAGTCCAGGTCTGGGAGGAGATCCCTCAGGAGACCATCCGCCACCTCATCAGGAGCCCAGGCGTTGTAGGGAGGTCATACAGGCACATGGAGGCCACACACACTACTGAACCTCATTTTGACTTGTTTTAAGGACATTACATCAATGTTGGATCGGCCTGTAGTGTTTTCCACTTTGATTTTGAGTGTGACTCCAAATCCAGACCTCCATGGGTTGGTAAATTTGACTTCCATTGATAATTTTTGTGTGATTTTGTTGTCAGCACATTCAACTATGTAAAGAAAGGAGTATTTAATGAGATTATTTCATTCATTCAGATCTAGGATGTGTTATTTTAGTGTTCCCTTTATTTTTTTGAGCAGTGTACTTTACGTTCATGGTTTTACACTGCGAGCTTCATGGGAGCTGCTGGGGGGGCGTGTCACCTGAAAGCTGCCGGCTGTTTGTTATTTCCTTTTAAATCCTGTCTCATCTGGCCCGTGTTCACCTGTGTTAGAGACATTTGCTCTGTCGGCTGCTGGAAGTCCCCGAGTTTCAGGTTAAACACTGCGTCTGGACACGCCGCTACACGAAAATGCTGTCAGACCGGTCTCACAGTCACATGACCTGCTCTGATTGGCTGAAAGAACCTGGACACACCTGAGAGAAGTTGGAGAGGTGAGTTTCAGTCAGAGGCAGAGCTCAGGTGAGTCGGTCGGTCTTCAACTGGTTTTAGTCAAACAGGTAAACAGAAGAAGAGCGATGGGTCAGGCACACAGTTCCGCCTCTCCTCAGGTAAACCCAGAACACACTTTACCTAAGACTCACCTGGCAGACAGGTGTTCTTCATGTTTTATGTTTAATTAATAACCTGCTGCTTTCTGTACAGGTCTTAACGGCTCTTACCTGTGCATGTCTTACCTGTGTGGCTCTTACCGGCTCTTATCTGTGCAGGTCTTACCTGTGCGGCTCCTACCTGTACAGATCTTACCTGTGTGGCTCTCACCGGCTCTTACCTGTACAGGTCTTACCTGTGTGGCTCCTACCTGTACAGATCTTACCTGTGTGGCTCTCACCGGCTCTTACCTGTGCGGCTCTCACCGGCTCTTACCTGTGCGCTCTTACCGGCTCCTACCTGTACAGGTCTTACCTGTGTGGCTCCTAACTGTACAGATCTTACCTGTGCGGCTCTTACCGGCTCCTAACTGTACAGGTCTTACTTGTGCGGCTCTTACCGGCTCTTACCTGTGCAGGTCTTACGTGTGCGGCTCTTACCTGTACAGGTTCTTACCTGTGCGGCTCTTACCAGCTCCTACCTGTACAGGTTCTTACCTGTGCGGCTCTTACCTGTACAGGTCTTACCTGTGCGGCTCTTACCGGCTCCTACCTGTACAGGTTCTTACCTGTGCGGCTCTTACCTGTGCAGGTCTTACCTTTGCGGCTCTTACCGGCTCCTACCTGTGCAGGTCTTACCTGTGCGGCTCTTAACGGCTCTTACCTGTACAGGTCTTACCTGTGCAGGTCTTACCGGCTCCTACCTGTACAGGTCTTACCTGTGCATGTGCGGCTCTTACCGGCGCTTACCGGCTCTTACCTGTACAGGTCTTACCTGTGCGGCTCCTACCTGTGTGGCTCTTACTGGCGCTTACCGGCTCTTACCTGTGCAGGTCTTACCTGTGCGGCTCTTAACGGCTCTTACCTGTACAGGTCTTACCTGTGCAGGTCTTACCGGCTCCTACCTGTACAGGTCTTACCTGTGCATGTGCGACTCTTACCGGCACTTACCGGCTCTTACCTGTACAGGTCTTACCTGTGCGGCTCCTACCTGTGTGGCTCTTACTGGCGCTTACCGGCTCTTACCTGTGCAGGTCTTACCTGTGCGGCTCTTACCGGCTCCTACCTGTGCAGGTCTTACCTGTGCGGCTCTTAACGGCTCTTACCTGTACAGGTCTTACCTGTGCAGGTCTTACCGGCTCCTACCTGTACAGGTCTTACCTGTGCATGTGCGGCTCTTACCGGCGCTTACCGGCTCTTACCTGTACAGGTCTTACCTGTGCGGCTCCTACCTGTGTGGCTCTTACTGGCGCTTACCGGCTCTTACCTGTACAGGTCTTACCTGTGTGGCTCCTACCCGTACAGGTCTTACCTGTGTGGCTCCTACCCGTACAGGTCTTACCTGTGCGGCTCTTACCGGCTCCTACCTGTACAGGTCTTTCCTGTGCGGCTCTTACCGGCGCTTACCGGCTCTTACCTGTACAGGTCTTACCTGTGCGGCTCCTACCTGTACAGGTCTTACCTGTGCGGCTCTTAATGGCTCTTACCTGTACAGGTCTTAACTGTGCGGCTCTCACCTGTGCAGGTCTTACCTGTGCGGCTCTTACCGGCTCCTACCTGTACAGGTCTTACCTGTGCGGCTCTTAACGGCTCTTACCTGTACAGGTCTTACCTGTACAGGTCTTAACTGTGCGGCTCTCACCTGTGCAGGTCTTACCTGTGCGGCTCTTACCGGCTCCTACCTGTACAGGTCTTACCTGTGCGGCTCTTAACGGCTCTTACCTGTACAGGTCTTACCTGTGCGGCTCTTACCTGTGCAGGTCTTACCTGTGCGGCTCTTACCGGCTCCTACCTGTACAGGTCTTACCTGTGCATGTGCGGCTCTTACCGGTGCTTACCGGCTCTTACCTGTACAGGTCTTACCTGTGCGGCTCCTACCTGTGCGGCTCTTACCGGCTCTTACCTGTACAGGTCTTACCTGTGCGGCTCTTACCGGCCCCTACCTGTACAGGTCTTACCTGTGCGGCTCTTAGCGGCGCTTACCGGCTCTTACCTGTACAGGTCTTACCTGTGCGGCTCCTACCCGTCCAGGTCTTACCTGTGCGGCTCCTACCTGTACAGGTCTTACCTGTGCGGCTCTTAACGGCTCTTACCTGTACAGGTCTTACCTGTGCGGCTCTTACCTGTACAGGTCTTACCTGTGCGGCTCTTAACGGCTCTTACCTGTACAGGTCTTACCTGTATGGCTCTTACCTCTGCGGCTCTTACCTGTACAGGTCTTACCTGTGCGGCTCTTAACGGCTCTTACCTGAACAGGTCTTACCTGTATGGCTCTTACCTGTTCGGCTCCTACCTGTACAGGTCTTACCTGTATGGCTCTTACCTGTGCGGCTCTTACCTGTGTTGCTCTTGGTGTAAATCTTTTGGGAAGCCAAGTGAGAGGGGAAGTCCTTTTTGTTATCTAAGGGAAAACTTTACATTAAACTGAGTCATACTTTAAAGACCAGGGCTCGTATTCATCCTCTCAGAAAACTCTTAATTTTTAAAAACATTTATGTAGGAGTCTTAGCTTAAGAGCGATCAGGGACTGATCTGAGAGCAACTCTGAGCAAGGAAAAGACAAAACCTTTCATCTTAGTGAGGAGGCGGGGTTGACCCCGTTGCTATGGATGACACAATCTTTTGAAGACTGTGATTGGTTGGTTGTCCAAGAAGGTAAAAAAGAGTGATTTTAAGTAAAGGTTCTTTTCTTAAGCCTTCACTTTGGAAATGACATGCATAATATTTCCTGTTTGACCGTTCTCTCTCACACACACATTATATATGTGTACATAGATCCTGTTTTTTCTGATCCTGATTAACTCGCTGTCTGCAGCACGTTTCTTCTCCCTCTTCGTCTTTCTTAAAAGTCCTCGTCCCTGCTCCTAACTATTTAGACCTTAAGACTTCTGTCAAGGGTTAAGGGGTGCTTTCTGAATTACTTTGTGGTGTCCGAACAATAATGCTGCGATGACGTGTTGAGAAGAAATCCGCTTGACACTGTTCTTGCTCATAAAAGTTTATTACATCAAGGAGTTCAGCATCAATTACAAGCTCTGCAGCAGCTTGGAGAGTGACCCAGCCCGATGACCACTCTGTCTCTCTGTACATCAAACACAGCTTATATAGGACATGTTTAGGTCTCTGCTAAAAACCATAGAAGGGTTTGAGTCTGCAAACTAAGGCACCAATCCATATAAGGGCATCTATTAGACACCATATAGGGTCTGAGTCTCCACATAACCACTGACCTCTGCTCTCCCCTTAAAAGGTCACTAATCCTCTATCCAGCTGCTACAGTGCTGTTCTAAACTGTTATGAGTCAAATGCACATATGTTATACACCACAACTTGTTTCTTTTCTAGGATTTTTTCTTTAATTCTAAGAGTAAATGCCCACATTTATCTCTCTCTGTCTCTCTCTCTCTCTCTGTCTCTGTCTCTCTCTCTGTCTGTCTGTCTGTCTGTCTCTGTCTCTGTCTCTTTCTCTCTCTCTCTCTCTCTCTCTCTCTGTGTGTATGTGTGTGTGTTAAAAAATAAAAATATATTAAAAATAAAATGAATAAACAAAACAGTGTGTGTGTGTGTGTGTGTGTTAAAAAAACAAAATATAAAAATAAAATAAATAAATAAAACAGTGTGTGTGTTAAAAAAATATATTAATAATACAATAAATAAATAAAACAGTAAGTGTGTGTGTGTTAAAAAATAAAAATATATTAAAATAAAATAAATAAATAAAACAGTGTGTGTATGTGTGTTAAAAATAAAAATATATTAAAAATAAAATTAATAAACAAAACAGTGTGTGTGTGTGTGTGTGTGTGTGTGTAAAAAATAAAAATATATTAAAAATAAAATAAATAAATAAAACAGTAAGCGTGTGTGTGTGTGATAAAAATAAAAATATATTACACCTGTCCGACGCATTCAGAGGGGGCCGTTTCACCTTCTGTAAGATCCTCAATGAGAAACGGGGACGAGACGACAGCGACAGCTCATTTAAAGAAACTATAAACATTGTGTTTTTATTAAAATGATAGAGTCTGATAAAAACAGGGGAGGCCTGGCCGCCTGTGGCCTCTGGGAGAAAACGCCACTGGGGATTATTAAAGTTATATCTCATTTTATGTGGGTTTGTGTGTTCAGGTGATCCTGATGGGTTTGGACTCGGCTGGGAAGTCGACTCTGCTGGCTAGACTGCTGACCGGACAGGTGAGCCTCCTCTGGACAGGTAGCTCCTTCATGTAGCTGTGAGTGGGATCAAGGCTGTTAAAAAGTTTTCTTAGCTGATGTAACTGGGAAGGGAAGACGGGTCCGCCTCTGAGACATTAGCCACATCTGTTCATGTAACTGTCCTGGTTAGGCAGACGACAGGTGGACTGATCAGTTAGAGACAGCAGTGTCAGCTCAGACCAGGGTTCTCTGGGAATCTGACAGAAGAATTCACTCAGGTCAGAGTCCAGCTCCCGGGTAGTCATAGATTCTGACGTGACGAAGCATAGGAGTCTAAACATCAGATAGATCAGCTAATCCAGGTTAAGGCCGGCTAAAGACGAGCTCAGGGGGAAACTACAGGACCCAGGGGGAAGACAGAAACATCTCCTTCAGATCTGGTGTTGTTACTGAACGGGTTCACACGTTGGATGCTGGTTCGGGATCTCCTCGACCGGGCTCAGTAAACCGTGCTGTATCAGAAATGTGTTCACACCTGAACCTGGCTCACAATGTTTCTTCAAAAAAGGTAATGGAGACGTCCCCGACCATCGGGTTCAACGTAGGAACTCTGGACCTGGACAAGAAGACATCTCTGACTGTGTGGGACGTCGGAGGACAGAAGAGCATGAGATCCAACTGGAGGTAACTAAAACCCTCTCCCCACCACATGACCCCAGAACACAACAACCAGTTCAGTTTTATTTATACAGCGCCAAATCATAGCAGCAGTTATCTCCCGTCTCTGTTCACAAAGAGCCGGTCCAGACCGAACTCTGTGATGATATTTACAGAAACCCAACAGTTATCTCCCGTCTCTGTTCACAAAGAGCCGGTCCAGACCGAACTCTGTGATGACATTTACAGAAACCCAACAGTTATCTCCCGTCTCTGTTCACAAAGAGCCGGTCCAGACCGAACTCTGTGATGACATTTACAGAAACCCAACAGTTATCTCCCGTCTCTGTTCACAAAGAGCCGGTCCAGACCGAACTCTGTGATGACATTTACAGAAACCCAACAGTTATCTCCCGTCTCTGTTCACAAACAGCCGGTCCAGACCGAACTCTGTGATGATATTTACAGAAACCCAACAGTTATCTCCCGTCTCTGTTCACAAAGAGCCGGTCCAGACCGAACTCTGTGATGACATTTACAGAAACCCAACAGTTATCTCCCGTCTCTGTTCACAAAGAGCCGGTCCAGACCGAACTCTGTGATGACATTTACAGAAACCCAACAGTTATCTCCCGTCTCTGTTCACAAACAGCCGGTCCAGACCGAACTCTGTGATGATATTTACAGAAACCCAACAGTTATCTCCCGTCTCTGTTCACAAAGAGCCGGTCCAGACCGAACTCTGTGATGACATTTACAGAAACCCAACAGTTATCTCCCGTCTCTGTTCACAAAGAGCCGGTCCAGACCGAACTCTGTGATGATATTTACAGAAACCCAACAGTTATCTCCCGTCTCTGTTCACAAAGAGCCGGTCCAGACCGAACTCTGTGATGACATTTACAGAAACCCAACAGTTATCTCCCGTCTCTGTTCACAAAGAGCCGGTCCAGACCGAACTCTGTGATGACATTTACAGAAACCCAACAGTTATCTCCCGTCTCTGTTCACAAACAGCCGGTCCAGACCGAACTCTGTGATGACATTTACAGAAACCCAACAGTTATCTCCCGTCTCTGTTCACAAAGAGCCGGTCCAGACCGAACTCTGTGATGACATTTACAGAATCCCAACAGTTATCTCCCGTCTCTGTTCACAAAGAGCCGGTCCAGACCGAACTCTGTGATGACATTTACAGAATCCCAACAGTTATCTCCCGTCTCTGTTCACAAAGAGCCGGTCCAGACCGAACTCTGTGATGATATTTACAGAAACCCAACAGTTATCTCCCGTCTCTGTTCACAAAGAGCCGGTCCAGACCGAACTCTGTGATGATATTTACAGAAACCCAACAGTTCCCACCATCTTCTTTAGGTACTACCTGAATGACTGCAAGGCTCTGGTGTTTGTAGTGGACAGCAGTGATTCTACCCGGATCCGGGAGGCCCAGGAAGTCCTGAAGAAGGTCCTGGGTGACGAGAAGGTACGAGGCATCCCTCTGATGGTTCTGGCCAACAAGATGGACCTGCCGAACTCCATGAGCATAGAAGAGGTACGAAACACAGTCCACAGCATCCTTTATACAGCCGGTGCTGTGATCTGCTCTAACCAACTGCTCCTCCTCCTCCTCCTCTTCCACCCCTCAGATCTCCAAACACCTGGATCTGCCACGTTACAGTGACCGGCTGTGGGAGATCCAGGCCTGCAGCGCTCTGCAGGGACTCGGCCTCCAGCAGGCCTTCATGTCTGTCAGCAAACTCATCAAGAAGAGCTGATGAGGAGGAGGAGGAGGAGCAGGAGGAGGAGCAGCAGGAGGAGGAGGAGGAGCAGGAGGAGGAGCATCAGCAGGAGCAGGCGGAGCAGGCGTCAGGTTGGCTCAGCTTTCTGTGGCAGTGTTTAATATCAGACTCACCGGTCCGTCCTGAGCGGTAGCCGTTTGCTTAACACCGGTGCTGGTCTATGAGAGAGCGGCGTCTCTTGATGTTTTTGTATTGAACCCGAGGATGTGGTCTGGGGTTCTTGTGAGTTCTGGACTCGTAGGTGGTTGACCAGCTGATGACATGTTGTGATGCCCTGACTGGACTCTCTGACCCGCCTCCTGATGAACGTGGCTGGTTGATCAGGTCTGAAGGACTCGTGCTAACAGACGTGTGATGTTGAAGTGTGTAGCCTCACGTGCCTCAGTGAGCTGAATGTGAATCCTCGGTTCGTACTCAGCCTGTGGGGCTAAAGGTGGATAATAAAGACATTATCATTAAACTGGCGGTCACACCTTTATTGTTTCAGCCAATCAAAACACACTTTAATTTTTACATGATCTCAGAGTCACTGTTCAGTCTGGACGGCAGAAGGTCTGGTTCTAAAAGGGGAAAAGTGTACCTGGGGTCCTTAGGGTCCTGATCCTGAGCCTGATCAGAACTAATAGAGATAATAATGGATCGTTTGTGTGAAGGTGTGAAACAATGTTAACAGTTCTGTTGCTTTAATAGAGGAGAACCAGACCATCAGGAACCTGAAGAACCTTCCTGCTGATCAGTTCGATCCGACCGATCGTTGATCCCAGCCGAGCTGAACTCTGTGAGCATGGTCCCTGTTCCTCTGAGATCAATAACGCTGACTGGTGAAGATAAACTCGTCGAACACGGCGTCTCTACATCAACTTCCTTTTTACGCTGCTGTAGTTTTCGTCCGGTCTGAGTGCGTGCAGTCTCCTCAGCGAGAACCAGGACTGGACGAGCAGCAGAACCGGGACCAGGACCCAGACCCCGTTAAAGAAGACCAGGTAGACCCACAGGTAGAGCCAGCTGGACGTGTTCAGGTTCGGACTGCCAACCAGCCAATCAGGACAGAAGGTCATCCAGCCGCCGTACAGCTCGCACACGCTCAGTACGATCTGCAGAAAGTGTCTGTAGAAATACACAGAATACTCGCCATTTACTGTGGAAATACACAGAACACACGCTGTGCACAGGGGAAATACACAGAATACATGCTGTGTACTGTGGAGATATACAGTATACACACATACTGTGTGTGTGTGTAAATGTATCTTCCTATATTATTTGTGAGCAAAGGATCCAGTATGTAGTACTTGTAGTGTTACCTGTAGTACTTTTCCTTCAGTACTGCGTGTATCAGCAGCAGACCGAGCAGAGAGTCGAGGACGACGGTAAGAACTTCTATAGCGACGATGTTCGGATCAGAAACCAGCCAGCGACTGTCGGCTTTACCGTACTCCTTCCCTACAGAGAGACAGACAGATTATACTAAAGTAAAAGTACACGCGTACTAACTGTAGATGTAGTACCGTAAAAAGTAGAGGAAAGTACCATAAAACGTAAATAAAGTAAAACTCACAGAGTTCAGCCAGCGGGCCGTCAGATGTCTCAACCGTCCCCACCAGAGACATGTAGACAAACGGACCTTCCTGAGGACACGTCAAAACAAACAATAAACAACAAATAATAAACAAACAAACAAACAGAGACATGAAGACAAACAGACCTTCCTGAGGACATGTCAAAACAAACAATAAACAACAAATAATAAACAATAAATAGATATATAAACAAATGGACCTTCCTGAGGACCGTCAAAACAAACAATAAATAACAAATAATAAACAAACAAACAAACAGAGACATGTAGACAAACAGACTTTCCTGAGGACATGTCAAAACTAACAATAAACAACAAATAATAAACAATAAACAGAGATGTAGACAAACGGACCTTCCTGAGGACACGTCGAACCAAACAATAAACAACAAATAATAAACAATAAACAGAGATGTGTAGACAAACGGACCTTCCTGAGGACACGTCAAAACTAACAATAAACAACAAATAATAAACAATAAACAGAGATGTAAACAACCAGACCTTCCTGAGGACATGTCAAAACTAACAGTAAACAACAAATAATAAACAATAAATAGATATATAGACAAACGGACCTTCCTGAGGACATGTCAAAACTAACAATAAACAACAAATAAACAATAAACAGAGATGTGTAGACAAACGGACCTTCCTGAAGACACGTCAAACCAAACAATAAACAACAAATAATAAACAATAAATAGATATATAGACAAACGGACCTTCCTGAGGACACGTCAAAACTAACAGTAAACAACAAATAATAAACAATAAACAGAGATGTGTAGACAAACGGACCTTCCTGAGGACACGTCAAAGCTAACAGTAAAAAACAAATAATAAACAATAAATAGAAATGTGTAGACAAACGGACCTTCCTGAGGACACGTCAAAACAAACAATAAACAACAAATAATAAACAATAAATAGATATATAGACAAACGGACCTTCCTGAGGACATGTCAAAACTAACAATAAACAACAAATAATAAACAATAAACAGAAATGTGTAGACAAACGGACCTTCCTGAGGACACGTCAAAACTAACAATAAACAACAAATAATAAACAATAAACAGAGATGTAGACCACCGGACCTTCCTGAGGACACGTCGAACCAAGCAATAAACAACAAATAATAAACAAACAACCAGAGACGTGTAGACAAACGGACCTTCCTGAGGACACGTCGAACCAAACAATAAACAACAAATAATAAACAAACAACCAGAGACATGTAGACAAACGGACCTTCCTGAGGACACGTTGAACCAAACAATAAACAACAAATAATAAACAAACAACCAGAGACATGTAGACAAACGGACCTTCCTGAGGACACGTCGAACCAAACAATAAACAACAAATAATAAACAAACAACCAGAGACGTGTAGACAAACGGACCTTCCTGAGGACACGTCAAACCAAACAATAAACAACAAATAATAAACAATAAATAGATATATAGACAAACGGACCTTCCTGAGGACATGTCAAAGCTAACAGTAAACAACAAATAATAAACAATAAATAGAAATGTGTAGACAAACGGACCTTCCTGAGGACACGTCAAAACAAACAATAAACAACAAATAATAAACAATAAATAGATATATAGACAAACGGACCTTCCTGAGGACATGTCAAAACTAACAATAAACAACAAATAATAAACAATAAACAGAAATGTGTAGACAAACGGACCTTCCTGAGGACACGTCAAAACTAACAATAAACAACAAATAATAAACAATAAACAGAGATGTAGACCACCGGACCTTCCTGAGGACACGTCGAACCAAGCAATAAACAACAAATAATAAACAAACAACCAGAGACGTGTAGACAAACGGACCTTCCTGAGGACACGTCGAACCAAACAATAAACAACAAATAATAAACAAACAACCAGAGACATGTAGACAAACGGACCTTCCTGAGGACACGTCGAACCAAACAATAAACAACAAATAATAAACAAACAACCAGAGACATGTAGACAAACGGACCTTCCTGAGGACACGTCGAACCAAACAATAAACAACAAATAATAAACAAACAACCAGAGACGTGTAGACAAACGGACCTTCCTGAGGACACGTCAAACCAAACAATAAACAACAAATAATAAACAACCAGAGACATGTAGACAAACGGACCTTCCTGAGGACATGTCAAAACAAACAATAAACAAAAAATAATAAACAACAACCAGAGACATGTAGACAAACGGACCTTCCTGAGGACACGTCAAACCAAACAATAAACAACAAATAATAAACAATAAACAGTGACATGTAGACAAACTGATGATACACAACAAATGGTAAAACAAACATATAACAACAAATAACGGGGAAGGGAAGATGAAGCTGCTCCTGATTGGTCCTACCAGTGTGAGGTGGACGATGACATCATAGAAGAGCCACAGTAGGATCCACCTGTCCTCTGCAGAGCTCCGCCCCCCACACCTGCGTGTTAGCAGGATGGCTGCTAACACCTGGATGCTACATGCTAACAGAGACAGAACAGAGACCAGAGAGAGGACGGGCGGCGCCGCTGAGTCCATCAGGGCCAAAGAAGAAGAAGAATGTGGTACTGCAGAGAGATGACCACTGAATTCAGTACAGGTAGTAAGTACTCTGTAGTAATACTTGGACAGACTGCAGTACTCACAATCAGGACCAATCTGTGTGAATGTGGAGTGACGTGTCAGACCCCGACTCCTGTCACTCTCTATTGGTTGTGTTGGTTCCAAGCACCACCCCTTGTCCCTCCCATTGGCTGCTGAGGAGAACACCCCACTCCCTGGCCCCGCCTCCTCCAACAGAGACAGCAGAGGTCAAAGGTCAACAGCCTGAGCAGGAACCAGACTGCATTCATAAAACTAAAGGAACCTCTGCAGGTTCAACCTGAGTAGTTTTATTACAGGTAATCGTGAGGAGCACTATTTTATGTGAGTTATAGTGCAGATACATAAACATAGTAAACTATTTAGATAATGTCTTAATTTATGTGTAACATTAATGTGAGTAGAGTAAAACCTTCTCCACAGTAAAGATGAGTTACCTGCTGACATAATAAATGTTTTATTTCACAGTATATGTATACTGTGTGTATATACTGTATATGTATACTGTGCGTATATACAGTATATGTATACTGTGCGTATATACAGTATATGTATACTGTGCGTATATACTATATATGTATACTGTGCGTATATACAGTATATGTATACTGTGCGTATATACTGTATATGTATACTGTGCGTATATACAGTATATGTATACTGTGCGTATATACTGTATATGTATACTGTGCGTATATACAGTATATGTATACTGTGTGTATATACTGTATATGTATACTGTGTGTATATACTGTATATGTATACTGTGTGTGTATATACTGTATATGTATACTGTGTGTATATACTGTATATGTATTCTGTGTGTATATACTGTATATGTATTCTGTGTGTATATACTGTATATGTATTTTGTGTGTATATACAGTATATGTATACTGTGTGTATATACTGTATATGTATTTTGTGTGTATATACTGTATATGTATTCTGTGTGTATATACAGTATATGTATACTGTGTGTATATACTGTATATGTATACTGTGTGTGTATATACTGTATATGTATACTGTGTGTATATACAGTATATGTATACTGTGTGTGTATATACTGTATATGTATTCTGTGTGTATATACTGTATATGTATTTTGTGTGTATATACAGTATATGTATACTGTGTGTATATACTGTATATGTATACTGTGCGTATATACTGTATATGTATTCTGTGTGTATATACTGTATATGTATTCTGTGTGTATATATTGTATATGTATTTTGTGTGTATATACTGTATATGTATACTGTGTGTATATACTGTATATGTATTCTGTGTGTATATACTGTATATGTATTTTGTGTGTATATACAGTATATGTATACTGTGCGTATATACTGTATATGTATACTGTGTGTATATACTATATATACACTCACCTAAAGGATTATTAGGAACACCATACTAATACTGTGTTTGACCCCCTTTCGCCTTCAGAACTGCCTTAATTCTACGTGGCGTTGATTCAACAAGGTGCTGAAAGCATTCTTTAGAAATGTTGGCCCATATTGATGGATAGCATCTTGCAGTTGATGGAGATTTGTGGGATGCACATCCAGGGCACGAAGCTCCCGTTCCACCACATCCCAAAGTGATCTATTGGGTTGAGATCTGGTGACTGTGGGGGCCATTTTAGTACAGTGAACTCATTGTCATGTTCAAGAAACCAATTTGAAATGATTGGAGCTTTGTGACATGCTAGGGGTCATGAGAACACTACACCATAGAGCGGAAAACATACCAACAAGCGCCCAAGCCAGAGAGAAGGAACAGAACCACCTGAAGGGGGCACTTACAGCCTGTGGATACCCTAAATGGACCTTTGTGAAAACAGCCACAAGATCCAAGAAGAACAAAACTACAGGGGAGGAAAAGAAGGTCAAACGCAACAACATTGTGATTCCATACGTGTCTGGAGTATCAGAGAAACTCAGGAGGATTTTCAACAAACACAACATCCCTGTGTTTTTTAAACCCAAGAACACACTAAGACAGATGCTGGTCCACCCCAAAGACCGCACACCCAAACACAAGAAAAGCAATCTAGTGTATGCGGTCCAATGCAGTGAGGAATGCACAGACCTGTATATTGGGGAGACTAAACAACCACTACACAAACGCATGGCTCAACACAGAAGGGCCAACGCCTCAGGTCAAGACTCTGCAGTCTACTTACATCTGAAGGACAGAGGACACTCGTTTGAGGACCACCAGGTGCACATTTTAGACAGAGAAGATGGACGGTTTGAAAGAGGTGTCAAGGAAGCATCTACACCAGGGTGGAGAAGCCGTCATTGAACAGGGGAGGGGGTCTACGCCACCACTTATCCCCCACTTACAATGCTGTCCTTTCATCACTTCCCAGGAAACTCAACAAACGTAACCTATTGGCCTCAGGTGAAGATACCAACGATGGTCGTTCAGTCTCGGCCACAGGTAGTCTTAACGACTGTAACGACTGTCGTCACAGCAACAAGGAACACTAACGAACCGGTATCGATGACCCGGGCCAACGACCCCACTGAGGTTAAATAGTTTCCCTGCCAGTCAGTCAGAACTGAAGAAGTCCTTTGGATGAGGGACGAAACGTCTTCCAGTATCTTCAACCAAGTCCAGTTGCCCTTGATTTTAACCTTCGTTGGATATTTGTGACATGGTGCATTATCCTGCTGGAAGTAGCCATCAGAGGATGGGTACATGGTGGCCATAAAGGGATGGACATGGTCAGAAACAATGCTCAGGTAGGCCGTGGCATTTAAACGATGCCCAATTGGCACTAAGGGGCCTAAAGTGTGCCAAGAAAACATCCCCCACACCATTACACCACCACCAGCAGCCTGCACAGTGGTAACAAGGCATGATGGATCCATGTTCTCATTCTGTTTACGCCAAATTCTGACTCTACCATCTGAATGTCTCAACAGAAATCGAGACTCATCAGACCAGGCAACATTTTTCCAGTCTTCAACTGTCCAATTTTGGTGAGCTCTTGCAAATTGTAGCCTCTTTTTCCTATTTGTAGTGGAGATGAGTGGTACCCGGTGGGGTCTTCTGCTGTTGTAGCCCATCCGCCTCAAGGTTGTGCGTGTTGTGGCTTCACAAATGCTTTGCTGCATACCTCGGTTGTAACAAGTGGTTATTTCAGTCAAAGCTGCTCTTCTATCAGCTTGAATCAGTCGGCCCATTCTCCTCTGACCTCTAGCATCAATGAGGCATTTTCGCCCACAGGACTGCCGCATACTGGATGTTTTTCCCTTTTCACACCATTCTTTGTAAACCCTAGAAATGGTTGTGCGTGAAAATCCCAGTAACTGAGCAGATTGTGAAATACTCAGACCGGCCCGTCTGGCACCAACAACCATGCCACACTCAAAATTGCTTAAATCACCTTTCTTTCCCATTCTGACATTCAGTTTGGAGTTCAGGAGATTGTCTTGACCAGGACCACACCCCTAAATGCATTGAAGCAACTGCCATGTGATTGGTTGATTAGATAATTGCATTAATGAGAAATTGAACAGGTGTTCCCAATAATCCTTTAGGTGAGTGCATACTGTGTGCTGTAGCATGACTACTATGTTTTAATAAATTTATGAGAATTAATACCCAATTATGAATTTTAATATTCAGAAAATATTAATCCATAAATCTCTCATTTCGGGGCACCATCGGAGTTTTAATTAACCCAGAGTCTCCGGACCTCTGGGTAGTGTTTTAATAATTATACAATTATTCACTAGTGATCAGTTAGTTAAAAATCGCTCAATTATCTTAAATCAGTTAGTCAATCTCATATCGAAGGGTAAATTCTCTACGCAGGGACCTGGAGACAGGCAATACACACAATTCCTTTGGTTACAGTGAGATTTATTAACTAACTAAGGTGAATATAAAAATGCGGTTAAATAAATAAAAGAAATAAAGAATGAGAATGTGGGTTTTATTGTGGGAGCATTTGACTCATACGGCAGCTAATGAACGCGAGCTATGAGTTTTAAGAGTTAAAGATCATCTATTAACAACTATGGGACATCACTGATCACAGAATGCAGGGTTTTGGTCTTACTGCGTGTCGCTTCTCCCAGCCGGGTGCTGGTCAACGGCCTCACGCTGGCAGAGATCCGTGCGTTAGGACAGCTTAAAGCCGTCGGCCAGTCGCATTCTCTGCCAGGGAATTCCTCCGGAGGTCCGTCTTTTGTCGGCTTACTGAAGAAACTCGCAGTGGGGCCTTCCTTCCAGAGGGCAGTCCTTTGTTTCCCTGAGGGGGCTTGTCTCCAGTTTCCCGAGAGACTGCCTTTCTTTGACTTTTAATATTTAAATTAAACTATTGTAATCAAATATCGTCCCACAATCAAACCTTAATTGCCAAACGGTTGTTCTGTTCTTAGTTTAAGCACTTGATAAAAGGAAAACAATTATCAGTAGTTAGATCTTAAAAAAGTTAGCATTTCATAGGAATCACAGATGAGAGGAACTTAACTAGCTTTCTGGATATATTGACGGTTACACGTTCTTAGAGAACATAAGCAAGACACACGAATGGCATCAGATTATTGGACATGAAAAATACAGAGTGACATTTATACATTAACGGCATTTCAGACGACGGCCTGTAATACTTATTTTGTCCACTTGCGGGAGCTTGGGTTACATGATGATAGCTCTGATCGATCCTAAAACAATCTTCTCAGGAGCTGGGGAACTTAGTCATTTTTAACCTTAAATTCAAGCTGGAAAATTAATTGAGTATAGGATGACATTTCTTTACCATCATTTCTAAAGGAGGTGTCAGAAAGTGTGAACAAAGCATTAGTTACAAATAAAATGAATAAAGTCAGGTGACCTTGCTGAAAATTAAAACACTACAAAATGAACTTATTTAGATTCTTTCCAACAACAAATAACAACATAGTGACATAACTACTCAAATGGAGTGGGGAGACCTAATCAAGTAACTAAAAGATTATTTAATTAAACAAGGTAACAGTGTTCTTTTGTCCACACAAAGGAATTGTTTCTCACACCTGGGCGTGAGGAGGAGAATATCCTTTGATGTGAGGTAATTAAACAAAGAGCAAGGTCAGTTGCCATGGTTACGTATGGGGGGGGGGCAGCTTAGGGTTTCCTGCCCTCTCTTACAAAGAGAAGAGTTCAGGAGAAAGCTAGTCTCTGGTGAGTGTTTCTTTTGTCATTTTAACAGTCAGGCATCAGAGGTGGCAAGTTTTTACGATCAGACGGCCCAGAAACAGCACTTAGGGAAAGCGACCTTTCACCTTTTCCTTTGGAGTCGCTTCAGCCGTCTGTTGAGTTGATATCCCAAACCCCCTCCTCCTTCTCTCAGGGAGAGAAAAGGATTTGGAGGCAAACTTAAGTCCAAACTTATTTGATATAAAATGCACAAATCCACACTGTTGGTATATACTTTGTGTATATACTGTATATATATATATACTGTGTGTATATACTATATATACTGTACATATATATACTGTGTGCATATACTGTGTGTATATACTATATATACTGTACATATATATACTGTACATATATATACTGTACAGATATACTGTGTATATACTGTATATGTATACTTTGTGTATATACTGTGTGTATATACTATATATACTGTACATATATATACTGTACATATATACTGTGTATATACTGTATATGTATACTTTGTGTATATACTGTGTATATATATATACTGTGTGTATATACTATATATATACTGTACATATATACTATGAGCATATACTGTGTATATACTGTATATATATATATATACTGTGTGTATATACTATATATACTGTACATATATATACTATGAGCATATACTGTGTATATACTGTGTGTATATACTATATATATACTGTACATATATACTGTACATATATACTGTGTGTATATACTGTATATGTACAGTATACTTTGTGTATATACTGTGTGTATATGTATTACAGTGTGGTAGCATTGCTTGCTCTTGAACTTATTCAGTGACTGACGTATTTTCTGTTCTTCACATTACCGAGTTTCAGTCCACAGCTGAGAGACATTTTGATGTTAGACGGAGAAAAACAGGAAACGTTGAAATGAGAGGCGGGAAACAGGATTGAGGTTTCTCTGCGTTTTATTGTTGGTGGATTTCAGGTGGTTCTCACCTGACAGGTGACGTGAGTCAGACAGGAAATGATCTTTGGCAGCACAACGTTTCTATTTGTGTTCGAAAACAAAGAAAACCAGCGACTTTATAGCTGAAACAACTGAGAGAACCGACTGGTGGAGAACCGACTGTCCTGATCAGCAGTTTGATCTGATGGGTCTGTCCGTCACTGGTACAGTAATTAATACTTCGGTGTCGTTAATAAGCAGTTAATCAATCAGAGGCTGGTTACTCAGTGTACACATCAACACACACACTACAGGAAACTGAACTGATGAAACGAAAGATTATTTATATCACAGAACATTTCAGGCAGAAGACAGAACTCAACAGATATTTCAACAGACAGGAACAGCAGGAGAACGCAAGGGGACCTTTAGAGCAACCTAACAAAAAGTTGGGGGGAACCCAAGTGGAATGTTACAGGAACCTTAGAGGGATCCTAGGGCAACCTAAGTGAAACCTTTGAGGAACCTAGGGGAACTTAGGCCACTGTTAGAGGAACCTTGGAGGGATCCTAGGGCAACCTTAGTGAAACCTTTGAGGAACCTAGGGGAACTTAAGCCACTGTTAGAGGAACCTTGGAGGGATCCTAGGGCAACCTTAGTGAAACCTTTGAGGAACCTAGGGGAAATTAAGCCACTGTTAGTAAAACCTTGGAGGGATCCTAGCGCAACCTTAGTGAAACCTCTGAGGAACCTAGGGGAACTTAGGCCACTGTTAGAGGAACCTTGGAGGGATCCTAGGGCAACCTTAGCGAAACTTTTGAGGAAAGCTTTAAGGAAACTAGGGGAACTTATGCCAATGGTAGAGGCACTGTAGAGGAACGTTTAGAGAATCTTCCAGCAATTGGACCCAACTTGGGGCAACCTTAGCAGAGTACTAGGTTAACCTTAGAGGAACTTTATGGGAATGTTTGGGAAACCGTAGTAGAACGAGGAACCTCAGGAGCCTTTGGGAATCAGTAACCTTAGAGGAATGTCAGAGGAACGCTTTGTGTTTTCAGGGATCTGTTTAGCACCATGTTCCCTCAGTGTGTTCTGTGTGTTGGGTTCCACTGATGTTCCACGTTTCATTACGTTAATGTTATTGATCAGCTGATCAGTAGTTATCATGGTTTGAATAAAAAGAATAAACATAAAAAGTGTAAAACTAAAGTAAAGCTGCCCAGTAAAAAGCACGTATCTCCAAAGTGTTCTTTTAGGCTTTCAGATCAGCTGAAGAATTTAAAGTTCTCCCACTTCATAAAAAGTTTAACCTAAAAACCAGAACCAAGAGTACAGAAGCATCAGTGTCCTTAGTTCCTGAAAGGTTTTTTGGAGATATGTGGTTTTCAGGGTCACAAGACGTTAAATATCAGATGATCAGAAATCTAAAGTCAGTTTGTGAGGAGGTTCAGACCTGAACCCTGATCCCAGGTTCAGACCTGAACCCTGACGGGTCTCAGCTCAGACCTGTACTCTGATGGATCCCAGCTCAGACCTGAACCCTGATCCCAGCTGAGACCTGAACTCTGACGGATCACAGCTCAGACCTGAACTCTGATCCCAGCTCAGACCTGAACTCTGACGGGTCTCAGCTCAGACCTGAACCCTGACGGGTCTCAGCTCAGACCTCTACTCTGATGGATCCCAGTTCAGACCTGAACTCTGATCCCAGCTCAGACCTGAACCCTGATCCCAGCTCAGACCTGAACCCTGACGGGTCTCAGCTCAGACCTGAACCCTGACGGGTCTCAGCTCAGACCTGAACCCTGATCCCAGCTCAGAGCTGAACCTCCATGAAACTGAATATTAACAAATGTTTAGGATGCCTCCTCCACTTTTCCCTCCTCTGCTCCTCCTTCCTCTCCTTTCTCCTCCTGAGGCAGGGTGGAGGACAGAGCGTACTCCTGACTGACTCCCTCAGAAACCACAGACAGATCCACCTCCACACCGGACGCCTCCTCGCCTCCCTTCTCCTCCCCCTCCTCTTTCTCTTTCACTTTCTCGTCGTCCTCCTCCTTTTTCAGCTGCTCCTTCAGCTTCTCTCCTCTTGCTCCTCCTGCTCGGCCGGAGCCAGCTGGGCGTGGACCTCGGTGAAAGGGACTTCCTGGTCGGTGCTGCCCTGCGGGGAGAGCTGCACGTCTGCCTCGATGACAAACGACTCTGCGGTCTGAGCGGCGGCCTCGGTGTGCTGAGAGCCGGAGCTGCTGCGAGGCTGGAACACAGACAGGAAGTGGAATAACCACGGACCATAGAGGCATTTTAGAGGCATGTCAGGGGAACCTTGGAGAACATTAATGACAGAAATCATGGAAGAATCAGACATGAAGCTTGTGGTAAGCTCAGGAGAAAATGGGGCAACCTCAGGTTACCTAGATGGCAGCATTAAAGGAACCTTAGTACAACCTTACAGGACCTTTAGTGGGAATGTGTAGAACCTTCCTGATGCTTAAAGGGAAACCTAGGGATAATGTTAGAGGAAACTATGGGGGTACTTGGTGTCAGGGGAACCTTAGAGGAACTTTTTGGAGTCTAATAATGACAGAGATCCCAGTACCTTACTGATGCTTAAAGGGGAATGTCTCGGGTTACGTATGTAACCCTTGTTCCCCGAGAAGGGGAACGAGACACTGCGTTGGTGACGACACTATGGGAACGCCTCTGGTCATGGCAGGGCTGAAATCATGAATGAAACTACTCCAATCCTATTGGCATTGCTAGAATGGTAGCGTGTGATGGCGTAACTGGAGGTGTATATAAGCACGCCGGCACACCGGACACATTAGCTCTTTGCTATGAAGCAAGGCACTCCAGGCGGGGCGAGATGTGGCGGACCGACGCAGTGTCTCGGCCAAAATGGCCAAAACGGGGCTACCAGCGGTAGGCTGACACCGTCCTGACGGACCCGCTCCAGAACCCAGAGCAGAACGACTTGGGGAAAGGCATACAGACAGGAACCAAGGCTTCCTCCATACTGACAGGGAATGAAGGCACCTGCTCGTAACCCGTATCAGACGGAACGGATTTCCCCTCGGGGAGAATCCCTTGGATTTTAACCACCACTGCAGGGCTCTCATGTGCAGCAGGCCAGACAGGATTACGCTGGACGCTGCCACCATGAGACCCAACACCCTCTGAAAGTGTTTCACAGTGATGGTGCGGCCTAGCTTCACTCAGGTCACCGAGAACAAAATGGACCCGACTCGTGCAAGTGACAGGTGGGCCCGCATCGTCGTCGAGTCCCACACCACCCCTAGGAACGTAGTCCGTTGGGCAGGCGTCAGCACGCTCTTCTTCGCGTTGAGCCACAGCCCCAAATGCTGAAGGTGGGCGAGGATGACATCTCGATGCCGAACCGCTAACTCCCAAGACTGAGCCAAGATGAGCCAGTCGTTGATGTAGTTTAATATGCAGATGCCCTGGAACCTCAGCGGGGCCAGAGCTGCATCCATGCATTTGGTGAACGTGCGAGGAGAGAGTGCTAGGCCGAACGGAAGAACCCGATACTGGTACGCCGCGCTCACGAAGGCGAACCTCAGGAACTTCCTGTGAGAGGGACAGATGGAGATATGGAAATATGCGTCTCACAGATCTATCGTGACAAACCAATCCTCGGATTGGATGTGACTGATGATGGCGGGGATGGTGAGCATCCTGAACCTGAATCTCCTCAGAGATTGGTTCAGGGACCGCAGATCTAAAATCGGACGCAGTCTTCCGTCCTTCTTGGGAACTATGAAGTACCGGCTGTAGAACCTGGACTCCCTGACTGGCGGGGAAAAGAGTTCTATGGCCCCTTTCTCCAGCAGAGAGCGAACTTCTTGTCCCAACACCTGGCTCTGCTCTGAGTGCACCGCAGTCCAGACCACCCCGTTGAATCTGGGGGGGCAGACCCGGAACTGCAGCCTGTAGCCCTCCATGACGTTACGCAGGACCCACAGGGAATTGTTGGCAACGCTCCGCCAAGCTCCTGCAAAATCTGCCAAGGGAACCAGCTATGCTTAGAGAATCCCAGTACCTTACTGAGTGACAGAGATCCCAGTAAAGCTTAAAGGGAACCTAGGGGAATGTTAGAGGAAACGTTGGTTGGGGGTACTTGGTGTCAGTGGAACCTTAGAGGAACTTCTTGGAGTCTAATAATGACAGAGATCCCAGTACCATCCTGATGCTTAAAGGGAAACCTAGGGGAATGTTAGAGGAAACTTTGGCGGTACTTGGTGTCAGTGGAACCTTAGAGGAACTTCACAGAGTCCAATAATGACAGAGATCCCACTACCTTCCTGATGCTGAAGGACAGAGGCGAAACCTTCAGGCTGGAGGTTTTCTGTTTGATTTTCTCTCGTTGCTCCTGAGAAACGATCTTTGTTCCTATCTTCGTCATCTTCTTCTCGATGTTCTGCCTGGAGAACGCCTTCTTCAGACTGTCGACCTGCAGAGAGAGAGACAGTTACACACCTATCTGACTGTTCACCTGTCTGACTGTTCACCTGTCTTTGGTTCTCACCTTCTTCAGACTGGATCGTTTCAGTTTCTCGGCTCTGGATTTCTCCATGTTCTCCAGATCGTGAGGCCACACCTCCTCTTCCTCTAGCTCCGCCTCTAGCCCGACATCCTCATCAGATGATAGGTCGATGGTCTGGAGCCCGCTCTCCTGGGAATGGTCGCCGTCGACGACACCCGGTGCCGATTCATCGCCTTCCTCCAAAATCTCATCACGAGGGAATGGAGGAGGATCCTTCACGAAAACACTGGTAGGGATCTCGTTCTCCTCCTGAAGTAGAGAACATTAGGGAAATATTCAAGAAACTGTACTTTGGAAAGGGGGCCTTAGTTGGAGGATCTTAGAGCATCTTTATTAGAATCTTTGGGGGAACCTTTGGGGGAACCTTGGGAGATTGTTAGGGGGGACAGCCTTTCCAAAGGAGAACAGTCCAGTGTAACATGTGACTGCTTCTTTATGGTGACACAAAGTTTCACAAGTCAATATGTTTAAATATGTTTCAACTGTAAAAGCTTAATTAAATCATAATTAATAGTACATTTATTGGGTTTAAGGTCAAAATGAAGGGCTTCAGCTTGAAGACTCTCTCTTGTCTTCATATTCTGTGTGTGGACAGGGTTCTCCCTCTACTCCTGCCTGTACAGGGGTATGCAGTAAGTGTAAAGTAAAATGTTCGAACACAAAGACATTCAACAACAACACAAACAGGAAGACCTGGAGGGCAGAGCTTAAAGGTTCCTCAGAGAGGGAAAGGGTTAAAAAGCAGAGCTGACAGAGAACCACACCCACTGAGGAATGCTGGGTATTTCAGGAGGACGGGAATGTTTAGTGTTGGTGAGACAGACAACTCACACATGTGTACTGAGTCATACTGCAGTACTAACCAGGTGGTTAGAAAACATTTACAGTAAGGACACTACCTTCAGTTACTATAATTGTACTGCAGAGTTACTGTAGAATTTACTACATTACTACTCCTACGACTACAGTATTAGTACAGAACAGTCACACACGTGTATTGGCCAAGACGCTCTTGGAAAATAATTTTTTAATATCAATGAGTTTTCTTTCTGGTTAAATAAAGGTAAAATAAATTTTAAAAAGTATTACCTATAGATCTACGGTTACCTGTGATAACGTGCAGTGACACAGATCTTAGAAACCATAGAAACATTTTTTTCAAGTTCAACTCTTCAGTCTGATCACATGTTCTCTGTGTGGGAAAGTACCGATTTGAGAACAGTTGAAGGGCCGAGTCAGATTTGCCATGACAACCAGACCACAAGAAGGCAGCTCTGACCTTTGTCTGCATAAAGTTTTTCAGTTCAACTCCTGCAGCAGCTGATGACCAAATAAGGTCACTGAAAATGACTGAAAATCACCAGCAAACAGACAGAACAAAGGTCTGTGGAGAACTTTACCTTAGTGTCTGTGGAAAACTTTACTGCCTGTGTAGAACTTTACGATATGCAGAGAACCTTACTGTCTGTAGAGAACAATACTGTATGCAGAGAACTTTACTGCCTGTGGAGAACCTTACTGAATGTAGAGAACATTACTGCCTGTGGAGATCTTCACTGTCTGTGTAGACCTTTTGTGTCTAAATGAATAAATGTAAATGTGTCTGAGGAGAACTCTGTTGCCTCTGGAGAACCTTACTGCCTGTTTAGAACTTAACTGTCTGTGGGGAACTTTAATGATGGAGACCTTTACTTACAGAGCAGATGTTTAATACGTTTGATTAGTTTGATATTTGATTGATGATGACTTTAGTCATCATGTTTTGTCATATCAGACAGATAAGTGACAGTTTAACTGTGCTACACATCAAGATCAGTTCATTCATCATGAGGAGTACTATTACTACTACTACTAGTAGTAGTACTACTACTGTTACTACTACTACTACTACTACTACTACTGCTTCTACTGCTACGGTTACTACTTCTTTATCTATTACTGTTACTACTTCTGTATCTACTACTACTGTTACTACTTCTTTATCTATTACTGTTACTACTACTGTTACTACTACTACTACTACTACTACTACTGTTACTACTACTACTGTTACTACTTCTGCTTCTACTACTGTTACTACAACTGTTACTTCTGCCTCTACTACTACTGTTACTACTTCTGTTACTACTGTTACTACTTCTTTATCTATTACTGTTACTACTACTGTTACTACTACTGTTACTACTTTATCTATTACTGTTACTACTACTGTTACTTCTGCCTCTACTACTACTGCTATTACTTCTTCATCTATTACTGTTACTACTACTGTTACTACTTCTTTATCTATTACTGTTACTACTACTGTTACTACTTCTGTTACTACTGTTACTACTTTTTTATCTATTACTGTTACTACTACTGTTACTACTTCTATTACTACTACTACTGTTACTTCTGCTTCTACTACTACTGCTACTATTTCTGTATCTACTACTGTTACCACTTCTTTATCTATTACTGTTACTACTACTGTTACTACTACTGTTACTACTTTATCTATTACTGTTACTACTACTGTTACTACTTTATCTATTACTGTTACTACTACTGTTACTTCTGCCTCTACTACTACTGCTATTACTTCTTCATCTATTACTGTTACTACTACTGTTACTACTTCTGTTACTACTACTACTGTTACTACTTCTTTATCTATTACTGTTACTACTTCTTTATCTATTACTGTTACTACTACTGTTACTACTTCTGTTACTACTGTTACTACTTTTTTATCTATTACTGTTACTACTACTGTTACTACTTCTGTTACTACTACTACTGTTACTTCTGCCTCTACTACTACTGCTATTACTTCTGTATCTACGTCTGTTACTACTACTGTTACTTCTGCTTCTACTACTACTGTTACTACTTCTTTATCTATTACTGTTACTACTACTGTTACTTCTGCTTCTACTACTACTGTTACTACTTCTTTATCTATTACTGTTACTACTACTGTTACTTCTGCTTCTACTACTACTGTTACTACTTCTTTATCTATTACTGTTACTACTACTGTTACTTCTGCTTCTACTACTACTGTTACTACTTCTTTATCTATTATTGTTACTACTACTGTTACTACTTCTTTATCTAGTACTGTTAATACTACTGTTACTTCTGCTTCTACTACTACTGTTACTACTTCTTTATCTAGTACTGTTACTACTACTGTTACTTCTGCTTCTACTACTACTGTTACTACTTCTTTATCTATTACTGTTACTACTACTGTTACTACTTCTTTATCTATTACTGTTACTACTACTGTTACTTCTGCTTCTACTACTACAGTTACTACTTCTTTATCTATTACTGTTACTACTTCTGTTACTACTACTGTTACTACTTCTTTATCTATTACTGTTACTACTACTGTTACTACTTCTGTTACTACTACTGTTACTACTTCTTTATCTATTACTGTTACTACTACTGTTACTACTTCTTTATCTATTACTGTTACTACTACTGTTACTTCTGCTTCTACTACTGTTACTACTTCTTTATCTATTACTGTTACTACTTCTGTTACTACTACTGTTACTACTTCTTTATCTATTACTGTTACTACTACTGTTACTACTTCTTTATCTATTACTGTTACTACTACTGTTACTACTTCTTTATCTATTACTGTTACTACTACTGTTACTTCTGCTTCTACTACTACTGTTACTACTTCTTTATCTATTACTGTTACTACTACTGTTACTACTTCTTTATCTATTACTGTTACTACTACTGTTACTACTTCTTTATCTAGTACTGTTACTACTACTGTTACTTCTGCTTCTACTACTACTGTTACTACTTCTTTATCTATTACTGTTACTACTAATGTTACTTCTGCTTCTACTACTTCTATTACTACTACTACTGTTACTTCTGCTTCTACTACTACTGTTACTACTTCTTTATCTATTACTGTTACTACTAATGTTACTTCTGCTTCTACTACTTCTATTACTACTACTACTGTTACTTCTGCTTCTACTAGTACTGTTACTACTTCTTTATCTATTACTGTTACTACTACTGTTACTACTTCTATTACTACTACTACTGTTACTTCTGCTTCTACTACTACTGCTACTATTTCTGTATCTACTACTGTTACTACTTCTTTATCTATTACTGTTACTACTACTGTTACTACTTCTATTACTACTACTACTGTTACTTCTGTTTCTACTAGTACTGTTACTAATTCTTTATTTACTACTGTTACTACTACTGTTGCTTCTGCTTCTACTACTGTTACTACTACTTACTATACATTACTTATTAGCTGACACTACTTCTGTTACTACTAATGTTACTACTACTACTGCAAGTACTACTACTACTGTTACTACTTCTGTTACTACTACTGTTACTACTTCTTTATCTATTACTGTTACTACTACTGTTACTTCTGCTTCTACTACTCCTGTTACTACTTCTTTATCTATTACTGTTACTACTTCTTTATCTATTACTGTTACTACTTCTTTATCTATTACTGTTACTACTACTGTTACTACTTCTTTATCTATTACTGTTACTACTACTACTGTTACTACTTCTTTATCTATTACTGTTACTACTTCTTTATCTATTACTGTTACTACTACTGTTACTACTTCTTTATCTATTACTGTTACTACTACTGTTACTGCTTCTTTATCTATTACTGTTACTACTACTGTTACTACTTCTTTATCTATTACTGTTACTACTTCTTTATCTATTACTGTTACTACTACTGTTACTACTTCTTTATCTATTACTGTTACTACTTCTTTATCTAGTACTGTTACTACTACTGTTACTTCTGCTTCTACTACTACTGTTACTACTTCTTTATCTATTACTGTTACTACTACTGTTACTACTTCTTTATTTATTACTGTTACTACTAATGTTACTTCTGCTTCTACTACTTCTGTTACTACTACTACTGTTACTTCTGCTTCTACTAGTACTGTTACTACTTCTTTATCTATTACTGTTACTACTACTGTTACTTCTGCTTCTACTAGTACTGTTACTACTTCTTTATCTATTACTGTTACTACTACTGTTACTTCTGCTTCTACTAGTACTGTTACTACTTCTTTATCTATTACTGTTACTACTACTGTTACTTCTGCTTCTACTAGTACTGTTACTACTTCTTTATCTATTACTGTTACTACTACTGTTACTACTTCTATTACTACTACTACTGTTACTTCTGCTTCTACTAGTACTGTTACTAC